GAATCTTTTTCCAAGAAAATAAATCTTAATGAAATACTAATGAGATAAACAAAGCAGAAGAATTTTTTTTAAAGGACAACTTCCATGAAAACAATAAAGTGTAGTTTATAAAAGATTTATTACCCAGGTGTCATGTAGCGGAAGTACAGACACCAGCACAAGTGTCAACATATGAAGTTTCATGCAAGGATTCATTTTTCAAAAATTTTCAAAAATAGTCTCTAATTCAGTCCATGCTGAGCAAAACATCAGTGTGCAAAAAAATGAAATTCAAAAATTAATGGACTGCAAAATACTGTTACCAACAAAACAACCCAAATGGATATCTGTAACTAATGAAGAACAAATGCATGATGTTTCCAGCAGTGAGATTTTTTGCTTCTAGAATACTTCTCCCCTTGAAATCTTTACACTTTCTTAAGAAAAATTATACTGTTTTCTCATTACGCCAGTATCCCCTGATTCACCCAGCCAACAGAGAGAACTTTACAAAGAACAAACACAGGAATTAAGAACGTAGCACCATTAGAAATAATCACTCTATCCAAATAATAATAATAAAAAAAAAACAAACAACAAAAAAAACCCAAAACCAACTTCATTTATCCTTATGCAACATACTTTGACATTCAACAGCCTAATAACACGGTAAAGGGAGCTCTCATAGCTGTATACTGAGAACATTCGTAATGGTCATGCATATTACAATCAGAAGTTTTCTAGGGTGCCCTTTGCAAAGTAAGCCATCATGCAGATAGGCATTCAGCTCATTAACTCCATCTTTGTATTTTCTATTAGTCCCTGAGAAGTTAATATTTCTACCTACAATATGGCTATTAAAGGCATTATAGCGATCATACACTTAGCTATTTGTGATGGAAATGCAGTGTGGCTTTAGGGAGAAGCAGCACAGAAATTACAGCAAATTAGCAGTGATGAATACAGATCTTATTTCTAAAATGCTTTCTTTTCATAGGCAAGGTTGCTGAAGAGCAACACAAATGATTTTAGTCAGGGATACTAGCCAGCCCAGCCTCACTTACCCTTAGTAAGTTGCTACTATGAATCCAAGACATTTGTGGCTCCGAGACTTCTCTAATTGAGCATTTCCTTCATATAAAATCATCTGGATTTTGACCTAATGTAGGGTCATCGTGATCCTTCTTTTAATTACTCAACAGCAGTGCTGGGAGAACTTAAAGAACCAGGGATTTTCTTTGCTTAACAAGTCTTTTGCCTCTTCAATTGAAGTGATCTCTTTAAATTGTTCAGAATTCAAATGGGGGGTTTTTTTGGTGGACAATTTGCATTATTGCCAGCTGCTCAAAAACCATAAGCTAGGGTTCCTAAAACAAGGGGACTGATTTAAAACTAAGACTTTGGAATGGGGGTTGGAGGGAAGGGAATAAAGACAAGTTCTTTTTCTTTGCCTTCTGAGCAGTCACAGATTGCATTTTAAACCTCTTCCCTACAATCTTCAGGTCTAAATAATGACTTCTAGAAAAAAAAAATGAAAGCTGACTTTTAAGCATGTATATCAGAGATAGAGTATTAAACACCGTGGTCTTTAGATTTACAAAAAAAGTATTATTTAACAAATTGATTTAGAGACTATAATTTACTTGGGTAAAATAAGTACTGCAAATAAGTACTGTTTTTACAATGTACTCTACTTGGGTTTGAGTATCATGGGAAATTCTGGATTTGCATTAATAGTTTTATTAAAATTACTCTTACTGAGCTATTATGAAAAATTTACTGACTTTATGTAGCCTATCTCCATAAATGTTTTATTTTATGGTGAAGTTTGGCAATCCCAGTATAAACTTCAAATCATAGCTATTTAACAACAGATGAGCTCTACAGAATTCTTAACGTAGGGTCAGACAGAAAGCCTTTCTGCCTCAGGACTTATTTCTATGTATCACTAAAAGATTAAAAATAATTTATTTCAATTATATTACAATGAAAAATAAATCTTTATTGGCCACTTAAAGGCCACTATATCTAAAAATAATTATTAGCTTACACAGGGAGTCATTGACCCCTTTAGCATTAGTTTTTCAGGCTAAAAGTGAAAGAGACATAATTAGCATAATTTGTTAAACGATTAATATCAAGTGGGTACCTACCTCTTACTATTTAAGGAAATCGGAAATAGATAATCTGATTTGTAGGAATTGCTGAGTTGCAAGAAGCTGAACAAGTTAGTACAATGTAATATTTATTTTAGCAAAGAGTAGGCTAAGTCCTGGAAGTCCTACTACAGCTTCTGGCCTGCTCAAACCGTTGCCACTTCGTCCTTTGCCAATTGGACAAAAAAAGGCCATATATGTCTGCTCACTAGCACACGAAATAAACAGATTTAGTATTTTAGAAACAACATCAAAGGAAAATCCTGGCAACTGCTGCAGGCATTTAACAGTTGATTAAAGTTCCTGCCACATTCAATTTTGATCATTGTAATTAATAAATTAAAAGGGATTGTATGAAAATGTTTCATAAACATTCTTACTAGGTGTGTGTACTACCTCATCAGGAGAGTAACACTTTGGAGAGAAACTCATCATATATATATATATATATGTATATACACACACACACACATGCAGTTTCTTAAGTTTCCTGGTTGCATTTTAAGTCAGAGACATCATTTTAACAAAACATCAGAAATGCTTTAAGAGACAATTAGTCTGACCTCCTTACTAAGCAATTTAACCTTTTATTTGGTCGGAGCTCTACTTTGGACCCCTATACTAGAATCTTCGAGAGAAAGTCACAGTCAAAATACAGAAATGCCTGCTAATCAAGCAGATGACTGGAGATGCACCCTAGAAGTAGACAAGATCTTAAACTTGTCTGCTTATGTGTAAGCTTTACTAATAAGATACTCTTTTTAAACCTGTAAGCCACACTCCATTCACTGCTCTGGTTTCCGCACAGATCACACTCAAGTTAGGTTTACTGCAGGTAGGTTTGCGTGCTGCTGGCCAGGTAGTTGTGTCACAGAATGTAGTATGGAAAGTTTGGGTAATCAGCTAAGGCGAATAGCTCATGCCAAATGTGGCGCTCCTATGAACATATCACAAGCCATATCCAATCTATCACTCCACACTAAAGAACCACCAGTGAAAAACTGCATCCATGACACAAATCTACCTATACAGTCAACTGAGAATTTTGATAATAAAATCTAGGCCTTGTACGATTCAATATTAATTTTATTGAAAAATGACACTTGAAGAAATCAACATACTTCTGGTCATCAGTATGTATCACCAGTTACCATTTCTGTTAAAATTCCAACCTGTCCTCAGCACCTCCAACCTCCACAACCTCATCTGCCATCAATGTCAGGCTTCTGGCCTCCTTCACATGCTGAAACTGGTCCAAGTTTATAACTAATATTTCTGTGTGAGAGGAGGAGTGCTGCGGACACAGATTTGCACTAAAGAAGAGACTGAAATTGATTTTTTAAAAATTATAACCAGTTACTTTGGAGAGAAACCGTTGTGGGACTCAGAAGACTGAGGCAGCACAAAACTGGTATTTGTTGATTAAAAACCATACTCTGTCAGGTCAAAGAAACAGACTTGTAGGCTTGTATGAGAAGCATAGCTGAGCTATTTTCAAAGTAAACAGCAGACAGACAAAAGCTGAGCAAAGGATGAGTTTCGGGAACAGATACAGAAGGCTTAGATTTAGGAAAACTTAAAACTTTCTAGAACACTCCCACTATCAAGAATTTAGGAATATAATACTCACTAGAGAATATTTTACAGAGAATAAATCTTTTGAAGACATAGAAAAATAGTTCACAGCATCAAGGTACCTGTAATATATTACCTTGAAATAAAACTTGTATTTAAAAGATTAAAAAAAAGATAAGATTATTCTTGTAGTGGTATCAACTTTTCATTCATACAAATATTAAGTAGAGTATACGTGTTTTGTCATATATTCACATTATTGCTTGCTATCACAACTGTACAAGGAACATATTCTTAACTTACATTAATGTTCATGTACAGTAATTTTAGTTATCTAAAGCAAACTTAAGAATATGATTGAGTTGCATTTAAAAAAAAACCTATAATGTGTGAAGATACATACAACTAAGATGTAAGCAGAAGAAATGAAATACAACTGGCCTGACCCAAGCATACATCATATATCCAGTTAAAAAAAGTCTTATACTTGTGCAGAAAATAAGCTATGTAAACCAAAATGAGCAGAAGCAAGGGTGCAGTAAATAATTATCTAACACATTTAAACTTACACTGTTGACCAGTGTAGCCTGCTTTGTTTATTTTTAATACACAGCACCTGCATTTACATCTGGAGCCGTACTGTTCAAGATTTCTTCAATAACTTTTTTCTGCCTATGTGGCTTTTAAACAAAGGAAAAAAAACCCTGAAAGGTCCTCTTGAACAATAAGTTTTAGTAAAACAAGTCCTTCTGCACCCCTGTGTACAGGATCCTGTAAACAGTAGGAATAAAGCTGATACATGGCATTAGCCTGAATTAAAACAGATACATTATAAACTGCAATACTAATACTTTTTTTGTGATCTTGAGTTCTACTAACCAGGTTTATGCAATTCTCTCAGTGATTCTTCTAGTCTGAGGAAAATAATTCTATTCTGCTTTCTTTTAAAAAAAAAAAAAAAACAACAACCAAAACCAACAAACTTTAAATTACAACTTTTTCAGAACCAGCTGACAGGACTTCTTCATGGAAAGCAGAGAGTTCTAATAAACATTTGGGTTCCAAAAAGCACAGTTTCAAAAAGAACTTTATCTCCTTCTTTTGTTGGAAGAGGCTAGCCAATATCCAAAAAGAAATAAAAATATTTACAATTGGCTAGTCACTGACAAAAGTTAGGAAGATCTTAGAAGGTAATCCAGCATGTAAATTAATGATTAGAAGGACTTACAGAATGTACAGTCAATTATTTGTGTAATTTTGGGATAAAAAAATACCTGCTCACTTGTATACCATTTTCAGCTGTGTCTTTATAGTAATATATATATATGTACACACACACGTGCACACATTTAAAAGATTCTTTGAAAATCAAGATACATGAATAAACAGAAATAGTAAAAGTGACAATAACTTAAGTAGTAGTTAACATTTGCATAAAATGACTTTGCAGAGTTTGACCAAGTGTAGGTAGAACATGCTTTTATAAAAAACAAACAAACAACAAAACAAAACCAAACAAAAGAAGAATGAAAACACCACAAGATTCTGTAGAACCAATGTTATGTCACCACCAGGAGAGCACCAAGCAAGGCACCATTGGAAAGACAACATACTTGAGTAAGTCTCTATGAATAAATCAAATGCTAATCTGGTCGAAAAATCGGTGTCTTTGGTAAAAATTCTATAAGGATGACCTGTATAAAAAGAAAACAAATATACATTAAATGGAAGATGGCAGCAATCCTATTATCTATCACAATGATAATTCACCTGCTTTTTAAGTACATCAAGTTGTGATGACGACCAAAGGTCACAGGACTTTTCTTAGGTAGGAGACCTTACAAAAGTCATGTTTGATATAATCATTTTGGAGTAGAAAACCAAAACTCTTAAAGAATCAAATTCAACCAGAAAAGTTTGCCTACCAATACACAACACATTTAACCAAACTAAAATAAGCTCCTACATAATTCTTCTTTAACATAATTAATTTACTTTATTAAGAAAAAGATTATGAAAGAGATAAACTTATTTAAAAAAACAGAAGGCACAATGTATGCAAAGTTAATTTTCAATTACACATGTAATTCCCTTTACTTCAAAATTATTCCCACTTAATATAGGATTCTAAACCACATTCATAGTTCAAAACTTGTATAGGAAGGTGTATCAACATTTGTAAAGTTCCCACATCTAACAAATCTGAAAGCAGTTAATAAGAAACTTGACTAATGCTTTTGCATGATTATTCTGATGGCCCAGATTCAAATTTAAATGTGTTTCTGTGCTATGTCCACACGGTAGGGTGTATACACCTACAATCCAATACTATCCAGAATGCAAGCCAAGTACTTTAAATAGAAAGCTTAAATAAAAAGTTCACTTTTGCACTTCATTTCTTCAGAGAGACAGTCACAATACAATAGCATGATTCTATTCACAAACAAATAAATGCCTGGTAACATAACTAAGGATTTTATTTACTTGTAAGTGGAGCTTGTCTTTCCAAGAAGCTAAAAATTAATTTCTAAACGTTTTTGATTGTAAAGGAAAACACAACTTGGCTGCTTAGAGTAAACAGTTCTACCTCTGACAGCATACCGTACATATATGTATAGGTTTATTTTTAAAAATGTTCAGAAGTGACTTATTTTCAGAAATTATGCAAACTGCTCAAAATCCATTGACATGAGTCAATCACTGGATGCTGGAGAGATACCAGGGCTTCTGATATTCAGGCAAGGTTTCAAAAATGGAGCAACTAAAGCTGGCACACTGTCTTTATGACAAAGGTGTGAGACTATTTTGTCTTTATTTAATTTATTATTTAGTTAATTTAGCATCTACAACAGTAGTTTCAGAACCTCAAGTAGCCAAAGCACCAAGTTTTGTGTACAAGAGTCAAATTTAAATCACCAGTTTAGAAAAAACCTCAGGATAAGTGTTTATTATTTAAAATTAAATCATGAACACAACATTAAGGGCAGTTTCTAAGACACTAGCAAATCAGTTAACTGAAAATGAGAAAATGGTACAGAGAGGTTTTACAAAAATTCTCATTAAATATATCCAGCGATAATACATCAGACGTTTCACAAATTGAAAATAAAATCTCTTATCTTTACCCCGTAAAACTATATGCCCGTGCTTACATATTATTCATGTAAACAGGTCAACTGATTTTAAATTGTATTTAATAGAATTAATGTTCATCTGTAAATGTTGCTGGGCCACAGTATTTACAAACTAGCATTGTATGTTTTTTCAACTGAATCTGCAAAACATTGAATGTGACAATGTTTTCCTGTAGAAAAACAGAATTTTCAGTGAAATAAAAAAAAATTCATCTAGGTAAAGCTCAAATCTACTTTCTGAAATTTGCTTTATTCAATTTTCAGTCACATCTCATACATCTAAACCAAAAAAATTTGTAAAATAAATGTTACAAAAAGCCTACTTATTCAGTGAACTGAATAGAGCCATTCTGTAAAATATGCATTTTAAAGATCTTATCTTTCAAGTTATAAATAAGATCTAATGTAAAAACAAGAAAAATGGGAAGACTAAAAGATTCTTTTAATATAATTGCCAACTATTTAATAATTTTAAAATTTTTATATTTGCAATAGCATTGTTGTTTCAAAGAAGATATAAAGTACCATGCAATGAAAGATCAAAGACAAGTTAGAAGTAATATAGTAGATATTTCTCAAAGGTTAATCCTTATTTTTCAAAAGTTAACCCTTCCTACCTCCTACTTCGTAGAGCATTAAAATAAATTATGCAAATTCTAATGTTTCTTACATTTTAGCAGCTTAATTTCATCCCATTTTATGTACCTCCAAGATATTTTGAAAATGGAAATAAAAACAGCACCAAAAAAGAGCAAGAAGGTTGAAAGCTAAACAAACTGAAATCTTACATTGGGCATCGTTCATTTTAAACTGCATATAACTTCTCACTGTATATTTCCAAGAAAGTCTTATGAAGTCTCAGCCAAAGATTGAAGTAACTTAAAAGTCCAGAGACTGACTTAAAAATATTTTAGTGACACCAATTGGAGATAAAGATACTTTCAAGACAGTTGAGGTAAGGAACAGTAACAATCTAAAAAGGCTAAAGGTTTCCTGAGCTCCAGCAGCTTAGTTGAAAGGTCTTCTTCCATACTTTTAGACTTGATTAGCATTATATAAAACAGCCATATCTGACTTGCTGCGTAACCAAAGTTGTGGTTACTCTTTATACAGCATCTAAAATTTCACACTCCATCAGCACATGTTCAAACTATTTTATCTTGGCAATTAATTTATTATTTTTCAGAACACAGTGAAGCCTTGTTTTCAAGTCATTCATAACTTTATAAATCAGTCCTGCACATGAAACCATGCATCTGTGAACCGTAGAAAATCCTTGCACTCAGGCGATTAAGCTCCTGACACCTTTACTGATTAATAATCATGAAAAGAATAAGATCAGAAGCAAAATAAATGATCATTTAATAGAGAAACTCACAAAACAGCCCTTTAACTTACATATTCCATCATGTTATTCGTTTCACATTTCCTTTTGCTTAGTCTCCAATGCAAGCACAGCTAGACAAGAAGGAAAGGAAAAGAAAAATGAGCTGTATTTTATTGCAGCACACAGACTAGCCCATTTGTCCACCTTTCATATTTTTAGTTCAACAAAAGCATCTGTTTCCATACTGTGCAATTCAAACTCCAACAGTACGAAGCTGCTCCCTGCGGCACTCACCTTGTGGTATAACCTATTGTTTTCCCATTCTAATAACTTCTCAATCGATCTTCGTGTCTGGAAGACAAATGAGAAAGAATTTTACTCTTGACTGGTTTTAGAAAAACTTTGTTTTGCAGCTGCTTTTGTGTGAAAAGAAGAGAGGTACAGGACAGTGACTGAGTACAGGGTGGTCTCTAGTACTATCAAAACTTCTCCGGTATTCAATAGTGACTAAAACAGAAACAACTTTTTATGACACCCAAATAACTATCTTCAACCATTTTGGAAGAAAAACTGTTCACTTATATGCTTTCTGGTTCTTATAGCAGCTATAACTTTAAAACCACTGAAATTTTGAAGTGATTTAAGTATAAAAGCAGAAATACTGCTCTCCCAGTATCAGTGGTCTAAGTGCACTGCTTCTACGAATGTCGGTATCTAAACTGACAAGTGAACTATTTTGCAGTGCTGTAGGTCAAGTACAAATACACAATGCTCTGAACAAAAAAGAAATTGTTACTTTTATATCCAGATTTTAGACCCTGAAAACCGAATGCAGAAAGTAACAGTAAGTTGCACATATGAATATTACTAAAACTGATTTGTACAAAGAACAAAGCCAATATTTGGGATTCTAAAGCAAAGTTTTACTGCTTATGCTGTCCACACATGACACTTCAGAGAGAGAATCCTGAGGGCTGTTCTTCACAGCTTTTTAAGATTATGCACACTAGTACTAAAAGACATTCTGTGCCGTAAAGTTTCACAGCATTTTGAATATAATTATTCAGTTATATTTACATTTGAGAAATACATTCTGACATTTATGGTCATTTGACTACCAGAATATATACTGCTCAGCTCTAAATGGGATTTGCTGCTGACTATGAATAAAAAGAGGATAATTCATGGTGCCAGGTGTTAAGATGAGACCAACAGAGCTGCAGGTGCAAAAGGAGGGAGCAGTGACAAGGATCAAATACAACTTAGTGCAGCTGCAGCTTCCTTACAAGGCAGGGAGGGGTGAGGGGAAGGGATGAGAAAGCATCTTGCTGTTATTACTACAAAATACAAGTACTGTAAATGAACCTTAACAAATCAAACTAAATGCTCTCAGGAGAAACAAGAATGTCTGAGCAAAATAGAAATTGGACAACAAGTTATTCATTTCCCACAATGTATTAAAATCTTGGTTTTCGAACATCAGTTCCTCTCTAGTTTAATACTGAAGTGGCTATGGAGAAACACATCTAAGCATGTACTGTGGTCACATGAGTAAAAATTAGATCATTGCTATCTATAAGGAATCATTACACTGAATTTTTATGACGTTTTATTTTAAAAAGCCTAAGTCAAGGAATTATAAGAAGGTGGACGTGGCAGTGAATAATTTATCACATCCATTGGGAACTGAGTATTTTTGGGGTTATTGTTATTACGATGTTTTTAAAGACAGTGCCCTTTAACAATAATCAGTAGACCTCACTTGTTTCTTTGTAAAGATAGCCTTTTAGAGTCTGCTCTCCTTTTAAATTAAAATAGGGCAGCAGTTATGGTCACACTTTTGTTAATTTAGTTGCCAGTCAGCTCCAAATCAAAAGAAAATAAGGCTGCAGAGTGTAATTAACATTCAGTTCAGTCGTTTTGTCCCTTGTCTAGCCCCCAAGCTTTGTTAAAATTGCCATCTGAATGCTAAAGGCTGTAAAAAATCGATTTGATTCTAATCGCACCATGAAAAGAACATGATCTAACTGCTTTCAGCCCTCCGTAAATCTGTACTAGGTCTTTAGCACAATGCAACTTCCAATTTAAAAAGCACTGAATGTCTCGTCAATGACTTTGTGAAGAAAAAAAGAACAAGGAGCAGACATAAAAATTCCAATAGTTGTTTAAGCATTAAAGTTCATTTGCATCACAGCAAACCTGAAAAGGGCTGACCTCTCAAACCGCCTCTCAGGTCTATGAAGTTGTAGCCTTGACAAGCTCACATTGACAGAGCTCATTGACTCTGAAAGGCTACTCTATCAATGGTGAAAAATGGCAATAGGTTCTACTCTGAGCAGGCATCTGCCTGCCCACCCGCTGCTAAACCAATGGCAAAACTGATTCAAAACCTGAATCTACCTTGTAATCTTCCTTTCCAGGACCGTTTAATAATAGATTAAGATCACTATACAACTTAATTTCATTGTTCGCCCGAAAGAGTTTGAAAAACCCCCAAGCTTATCAAATTCCAATAAAATTACAAATATATTACTATACATACACATAAATAAGAAATTGATAGGTAGTTATGTACTATTAATTGGTTTATTTAAATAAGAAGCCAGTTTAAAGTCATCTGACTAGTGAGAGATAAAAACACATGCAGCCTCGAGACCATAATTATTTATGTTCCCATAAATACATTAAATACAATCCTTCCAGGAGTATAATTTGGGATAGTCATAGCTCTCAAATCACACCCTATTATCAATATAGTAATGTTAATGAAAATTAGACTAAAATATTTCTACAAACCTCAGAGCTTGGAATTAAAATAGATTAATTAAACAGCATCACACAATTCACTATAGTAAGTTTTCTTCCTACTTGACAGGTGAAAAAAAGCACTTGCACGTGCAGCTTAATTAATCACTGCTCTTGACATCTCAATGATTTACAGTGAGGAGCAGGTGAGGATATACAAAACCAGAAAGGAACACTTGATTTGAGTGCAGCATTTCCAACACACTAGGATGACAAGCTTATATATTTTATCAATGGTGTACAGAAAAACCCATACAGCAAATTATTTGTTAGCTGCAACAAAAGCACAAATTAAGTGGAAAAGAGACTTGCTTATTAGGAAGATTTAATACTATCCAGCTTTAAAATTTTTTTTTCTTAAAAAACCCAATCCAATATTTGAGCAGAGCTAAAGCTGCAATTCAAGTGCACTTTTTAGCATACCAATTATAAGAAAGTATGCTTTGTAACATATTCCATGAAAAAAGCAGATAGTCTTTAATGTTATCCACAGAATTTTGTGAAATAGACCTCTTCAATCAACTATCTAGATGCAATGTTTAATGAAACATTCCTATGAAAAACTGATTATTTAAAGATATTCATGTTTGACAGCGTCTTTTGAAAAATCAGACTACCAAAAAGCCCAACTCAGAATACACTTTCACCAGTATTTGTTGGTCCCTATTAAATAAAATAAAGTTTTACCTTTAAACATGGAAGAAAAAAATGGGAAGACTAAGTACGAACCTTTCATGCGGGAGCAGGGCAGTATTGAGAACACTAACCTGTATTACCAACCACAAGATCTTTCTGTTATGTCTTTGCAGTGACCAGTGAAGTTAGCTTACGATTCCAGATCCAGTTATAATCTGGACTGGGAGACTGTGCAGCCACAGGGCCCCCTCTTGCAGTGTATGAGCTGGAACACACATGCTACACTAAACCATACTCTAGTGAATGGGCCAAAGACCCCTCAACTCCTCCTGTATATCAGTGAATGACTGGCACAACATTTAAAAAAAAAAGATCTTACATGACTGCCAAAACAGTGCTAATTTGAGTACCTCCCTTCGTCTTTAAGTGGAGAAACCACGTGAACAGTAACACCATCCTCCACTATCAATTTTATTCATAGTTGTCTGGGAATAACAGAAGAATCTCCCACTACATGCATTTGATCTTTGACTTATCTAAAAACTCCAAAATACATGTAAATGTAGTGCAACATTAGTCCAATAAATAGTACATGAAGATTTTCAAATTCCTTCATATAAAACTTTACCATAATCAAGTACTAATAATTTTGAATATTGCCCTGAAAAAAATACACTTTATGCTCAAATTTCAAAATAAAGACATAATTTAAGCAGATCTTTGTTGATTTTCATATGGCCAGAATTTGTATTATACCCCATGGAAAAAAGGCAAAGGATCTTATCAGAGGTCTGAACTATACCATCTGCACTCAAAGAAAAATGATGGAAGCAGGAACTTCTGTTCATTCTCCAAAGATATACCTGACTACAAAATTTATACCCAAGTAATTTAGTTTTCAGCACAAACAATTAAATATAAAGTTAGAAGATAACTGAGTCACACAACTGTATTCTCACTTTCAACGTGCCAGAACATCCCATAAGTCAATTTTGAGGCCCATATTGGTGCCATGAAAATGCCAAAGCTGTACTTGGAAGATGCATACCTGAATTACATATACCTTCATCTGCGCTGAGGAAGTCCCCACCTTGAACACTGTATCACAAATAAACTCATTAGAAACTGTAAATTGGTAAGATTCCCATCTGACTGAGGAATGCTCTGCTTGTGAAGGGCAAAGATGATAAAGGAGACACCTGAGTTGATTTCAGATCCTGACATCCTGGAATACCTGCTTCAGCACTTAAGAGTAGTTAGAAAAGGTGTCTATTCAACCACATAGGTGTAACTTGCACCATCTTTCCTTTAGTAGCTAGGATATTTCTTAGTAGAGACTATGGGCAGGGTGCTCATCCCAGAAGCCACTGCAGCATCCAACCAAGAAAGTGAGCGAAACCCATTCTACACAGATTGAAGAGTATCTGGAAATAAATGTCGCATTCTGGTGCTTTTTATACGATCTTGAGATAACTGCCTTGTCCAACAGGATTACTATTACTGCATCCTGTCTTACCTTACAAATGATTCTGGGCAGAAAGTAAGCCCAAACCAAAGCTCCTGATCAGATAAAGAGAAACATAATCAGCAGAATTCTGGAGCAAAAGAACTGACAATGCCAATTTGACCTCAGGAAACTTCCCATTCTAAAAGAGAGCCATGAGGATATTGTCCCATATCCTCACATGATCCATAAACTGACCTAACTTGTACAGGTCTTAACCC